TTTTTTTATGTCATCTGCACTCTCTCCTCCTTCTTCATTGACTCCAATCAGTCTTGTGTTATTCTTCTTTGCATGGTCTAGCAGCTGCTGGATTGATTTCTTGTGTTCCTTTACTATTTTAAAGCAATTTTTCTTTTCCTGGTCACTAATTGCAATCTTTTCTTCTGTATCTGAAATTCTATCCTCACATTGGTTCATTTTGCTGTGCAGACTTTCGATGGAATTTTTAATCTCCTGGAAATCTGTTTGCATCTGTTTCATGGATTCCATTTGTTTCCTATGTTGGGATTCCATCATATTCCTCAGAACCTCTATTTTTTTTATCTGTGTTCTCTCTAGATTTATTAAGCATGGCTTGCACCACGAGCCCAATCTTTGTGGTTATCTGAGTAATTAGTTCTGATTTCATTTTTCCCAGATCCTCTTTCGTTGCCAGTTCAGAGAGTTCAGGTAGTTGAGTATCACATTGTTCCATTTCGTTTCCCTTTGGGGTTGCTGTAGGTGATCAAGAAGTCTGTTTTTGAGGCTTGTTTACATGTCTTCTCATTTCCACGGTGGGGAAGGGTGCTTCTGGCACCAGCGCGGCTCACCTTCTCTGCCCTAGGAGCTTGGGATGGTGGTGGGGAGGTTCCTTCTGGGTGCCGGGGCAGGCTCAGCTTCTCTGCTGGATTAGCCTATTGATGGATTCATAATTTGATGGCATTATTGGAAGGTGATGGAAATTTATGTGGGGAGGCTTAGATGGAGGGAGTGGGTCATGAGGACACAGCCTTGGGGACTCTACCTTGTCCCAGGCCCTTCCTTTCTGGCTCTCTCTCTCCTTCCTGATCACCATGAGGTGAGCAGCTGCCTCCTCTACATGCTCCTGGTGGCAGAAGGTCTGCCTCACCTTGGGCCATAAAGCCAGTAATAGAGCCAGTGGGCCAGGAACCAAAACCTCTAAAACCAGGAACCAAAATGAATCTTTCTTTATTTAGGTTGTTTTTCTCAGGTATTTTGTCACAGCAACAGAAAGCTAACACAGACATCATGGGAGAAGCAAGTAGATCCTTGTAACAGAAAAGCTTGACAGGATCATAAAACCAGAATGTTCTATCCTATATTCAAGTCCCAGATGCAGTATTCTCTAGCTGACCACTTTTAATCAAACAACTCATAATTATTTTTAGCAAAGACAAGTGGTTTGAAGAAAGAGAAATTTAGGACAGAAGCTGATGATAGGAATTCAACCTTAATGTATGCAAACAATACAGGTAATTTGGTTATCTTTGAACTTCAAGTTTCCTCTTTACAAAACAGGATTATGTGTAGCATATTTTACACACATGCATCACTTCAGCATTTATTCTCAATTTGTGCATTTATAAAATGGAAATCATTCTATCTGTTCTGTCTCTTTGATCCTCCCAATTCTGTGAGGCACAGTGAGGAAAGCCTGTTTGTAGAGCACTTTTCTCTCTGAAAACACCCATCATGAGCAGACTGTAATCAGGGTGCATGGGAGGAGACACAGACTTCGTGCTCTGGGAGTCCTGGATTCCAATCTCGCTTCTGATTAATATAGGAAATCAGAACCTCTTTGATCACTGGGTTTTCTCCTCTGCAAAATAAAGATCTTTCTTTTGCAGGATTATGGTGAAGACGGGAAGGGCTCTCATCTAGAAGGGAAGCCAGCAGGACCTTGCCACTAGCTGTCCTGCCCCCCTCAGCTGCTTGTGTTTCATCTGGTGCTTAATGGAGGTAGGAGGAGTCTGAGTGAGCTTGCACTAACATCCAGGTTTTTTTGTGCTATGATTTTTGGTTAGCAGTGGCTCTGCCTCTGCAATGTGACAGATGGTGAGAGAGAAGGAAGCGTTTGGGTACCCAGCTCCATTCCCTTGCAGATGAAAAGCACGAAGCCTTTTCCATGGTTTTAATTCTCATTCCAGACTGGAACAGTAGGTTCTTTCTCTAGTTTTTCTGTCCTTACTGGGGAGGAGCCTGGGGACATATTTCACAGCTAAGTCAACTGCTTTTTTTCAAATTCAGATGTAAGCCTTGAACAAAGTGAATTACTGACTATCTCATACAGTTAAGACAGTCATCCACTTTGCTAATAAAACTTCAAAGGAGGACTCATTCACCAATCCACTGTTTATTGAGCACCTACGACACACCAGATGATGTTTTGGAGCTTGGAGAGATAGATCAGGGTGTACAGATGTGACTAGACTACTGTGGTATGGTAGAAGTTTTAGTGCTAAGAAACCCAAGTTCACCTGCTGGCTTTGAACTTAGTTTCTCTTTGAATCCAGGGTAATAAATTCCTGTTTCATAGGACTTTTTTATGGCAGGCTGGCTAGATGTTCTATACCAGGCAACCTGGGACAGCATCTCAGCCATGCACTTAGTGGCCTTGGTAAGTCAATTTCCTTCTTTGAGCCTCAGTTTCTTCATTTGCACAAGGAAACAATAAAACATATTTTGAAAGGGTTTTGAGAGGTTCAGAGTGAAGGGTGGCAAGTGAAAGCACTTTGTGAAGTTCAAGGCACAGAGAATATTTTTCCAGACCAAACTGGAATCCATTCTGAACTTCTTAGTTCTTCTTGAGGTTAATTCTTTCTCTTGTTTTCTTATTAGGCCCGCCTGAAGGAGGCTACAGGAGGACTAGCATCTTTGCCCTTGTTCTTTCCATTGCTCTGTGCAACAGATCTTTGGTTGCTGAAACCCACAGTGGAAACAAATGACTTGTCAAGGTAACTTCTGCAGCTGCTTGCCCTTGGCCTGAGCTCACCCTCTTGGCTGTGGCTTGCTTCGGGCTTTCTTAGCATATTAGACTTGGGCTTTGAAGGGCTCAAGAGTGGACTGCATCTCTCTCAGCTCTTGGTCTCGGGTTATTTCAATCAAAGCACGTCTCTCAGGGGCATTCCTTGTAGATGGGGCCAGACTTTCCCTCTTCAGTGCCTCTTGCACTTGCAAATATGTCTTCAGAATCCTGGCATCCTGGACTGTGGATAGTCTGGGGCCCAGTGGCCTCTCTGGGCAGGGCACTGTGACTCAAGAGTGGAAAGTTAGAGTAGCTAGTGTCCTGGATCTAAGTGATTCCATCTCTCCACCCTCAGAGCGGGTGGAGGAAGGTCTAAGGCTCTGCAAAGATTTTCCATAGGGCAGGATGCAGCATAGCAGGGAGCTCTACTGGAGCCCAGCTCTGCCCTGCGGTCTGGCTGGTGGCAGGGCCTAGGCCTAAGTGATCTTCCAGGGCTCTGTGTGTTAGAACTGATGTGCAAGGGATTGGGGGCGGTGGCAATGGGAGGCGGAGGAGTCATTGAGTGGCCAAGGGACTAACGGAGGCCACAGAAGTTGGGGAGGGTGAAGGGTTGCTGAAGCACCTGTGTCCCTGCGTTTTGGAAAGTTGGAGCCTTGGGCAGACAGTGGCTATTTGGGAAATGTGAAAGTGAGGTTTGATTCTCTGACCCGCACAGGCAGCAGCATTTCCTGTCGTTAAACTCCAGTCAGTTTGGATTTTCCCAGCACCAGTTTTAGGAGGGCCACGCTGTCGCTTTCTCAGGTCTGAAGCCCACCCGGGGAACAGCTATCAGCTCTCCTCTCCGAGATATTCAGTTTTCTCACCTATAAAATAGAAGTGATGACGATTCTCACCTTGGGAATGGAAGTCAGGCTGGATGTTGAAACATGAGCTTCTTCTAAAGCTCTAAGCTCCTAGACAATTTCTGGAAATACAGAAGCAGCAAATGTAGCTTATGCAAAAGCTTACAGAAAGGGGGCAGTTATACCTGTGTTGCTCCAGGATCATGAAAGGGAAACTGTTCAAAACAGAGCATTTCTATTTGTCAGCTGGTCCTCGATGCAGTCTCTCCCATGTGCATCCACTGTGGCCCGGTCAGTGGAGGCTCTAGGGTGTGGACACTCGTCAGGATGTTTTGAGCCTGTGAGTGACATGCAAGTCATCACACACCTTGAGAGGCATCTGCTTCCCATAAAGAGAGGTTGATTTCAGAACTGGGCCAACTGGGAGCCAGCTGGAGCTTGAAAACTAGCCCCAAAGTGTCTGAGAAATACTTGGGGAGTAAAAGTAACCTCACTCTCTGTATGAGAACAAAGCTATGTGCTGGGTTCACAGGGTCATAGGATTTTAGACCTGGGAGGGCTTTGAGTTCAAAGAATTCCATCATCTCATGATATAGTAAAGGAAATCCAGGTCCAGAGTGGGGAAGAGGGCAACCCGGATTGTGCAGATCCTGCTGGGAGACAGCTGTGTCCTTCTTAGTGAAGATCCTGTGGCATATGAAGAAGTTGGTCTCAGCTGGGAGTGGTGGGGCATATTGTAATCCCAGTCACTCACTTGGGAGGCTGAGGCAAGAGGATCACAAGTTCAACTTAGACTTTGTCTCAAAATAAATAAATAAAGTGACACGGATCTATCTCAGGGGGAGGCAGGCACTGAGTTCAAACCCTAGTACCTCACACAGGCATCACACACGTGGATATGACACACACACACACACACACATGCATCCATACACAGTAGGTCTCATGTGTTTTACCAGATTGTGAGCAAAGCGTTAACTGCTAAGCGTCAGGAGGGGGATGCCAGTGAGTGCAAACTTCTGCAGGCTGGGAGGGTTTCCTGGGACCATTCTATCACATTGCTTGGGCAGAAGCCCAGGGGGTCATCCTGGCTGTGGGCTTCCCAGTCCTCATACCTCTGAGTCCGGCAGACCTGTTGACATCCCCACCCCCTCACACACAGCTCTTGCCACCAGAACTGGGTCTAAGCTGAGGCCAGGCAGGAGAAGAGGTGGCCTGTTGGCGACATGGTGGCCCTCAGCAGGAAGGAGGAGCTTCTTTCTCCCTTTGGCCTTTCGCTCCCCTCTTCCTCAATCTAGCCATGACCTCAGGGTCATTCCTCAGTGCCTTTTCTAGCTCCAAGCCTTGGTCCTGACTGGCCCTTTTGCCTGGCTCATTCCAGCCCTGGGAGCTGCATGGCTTCTGCCCATTGCCCTGTGTCTGGCTTTGCAGTCATAGGAGAGGGGACTTCCCTGGGGTAGGACAGTTGTGTCCTTCACTCTCATTCCCTTGTCCAGCTTTGTTTTTTAGCACGGCGTGGAGCAGCTTAGAGCATATTTGTGGATGGCCTCAGACCTCCAGTCTGTGAGAGATGCAGAGCAGACCTTTGGCACTTGTGTATGTTGACTGGAGGACTGAAAGGCCGGGTGACAGAGCCTTTCTCTGCCCCTCTTCCTCATGCTCCTTTCCACGCCATGAGGCCACTTTGGCTCCATCGTTGGTTTCACTGTCTCCATACAAATCTCCTCAGAATGTTTGAGCAAATTGTTCTCTAGGTCTTACACAGATGTGTAGGAATCATGGTGTGATGGCTGTGCGTGAAATGGTTGTGTCTTCTAGAGGAGGCGCTTTCCTCTGTCCCCACCCATGGATACCCTGGCCCAACAGGCAGATTCTTGGTCATCGTCTCCATCCAGGAACCCCACGGTCCCACTGCCTGCCGAGCAGGACCTGAATCCCTCGTTGCCTTTGAGGCACTGCACATGGGGTACAGCCTGACTTCCAGGCCTTTCTCCCTTCCAAGCCCAAGAAACCTGTGCCCCAGCCAGACTTTCCTCCTCCCCCTCCTCCCAGTGTCTGCTTCCTCAGCCCTGGCCCTTGGAAACCTCATGATTCCTGCAGCTTGACTCCCCCAGCTCACTGGAAGTTTCTTGGTTTCTTGGTTTTCAGGCCTCAGCCTGCACCTCTATTGCCTGTTGGCATCTCTTCCTGCGACCCTGGCCAGCAGCTAAATTCAACATGGCTGAGGCCTGCCTCTATTTTCTCTCCCTGAGTGTCTTCTTCCCCCTTCTCCCCTGTTTCTATTCAGAGTCCTACCATTCTCCCAGACACCTGAGTTTGGAATCACAAGAGTCTGATTAAGTTTTTCTTCTCTTTAGCACCCACAGCTGTTGAGTGATCATAGCCCATCAGTTTATTCTGTGGTAGCAACTGGTATTGATTCATCACAGGTCCACTGTGTGTCAAATAGCTCTGACTACTTTACCTACTGTCTCCAAAATATGACTGCACCTTATGCAGGGTGTGACAAAAGGACCAGGTGTTATGTGGCATAAATAAAGCAGATGTTTATTCCCCTTAGGTGATAGTCAGAGGTCCAGGGCCAGTAAGGCTTCTCTATCAGACATCCGGGAACCCAGGCCAGCAGGGCAGCCTGTCATCTGCATGTGTGACTTTGTGGGTTGTTTCAACTTCCCAACCTGTAGAAAGAGCCAAAGAGAGCGAGCCCACAGTGGATGACTGAGCCAGGCTTTAAGGAGTAGCCAGAAAGGGGCACTTACCCCCTCTGCCACACCTGCTGGGCGGAACTTGGTCACATGGCTGTATTTAGCTACAGGTGAAGCTGGGAAACAGCCTCTAGCTGGTGGCGCTGGGTGCTAATTTGTGACAGAGGCTCTATCATGAAAAGGAGTGTGAAGATGGTAGGGACCATTGCCTTCATTCTAAAGATGAGGAAACGGAGGCATGAAGAAAAGAAGCAACTCAGCCCAAGGTCCAAGGCCTTGTTAGGACCGCCTCCCTAACTGAAGATTTTCTATTACCCTGTGGAGCCTCTTCATAAAGAGCATAAGTGTGACCAGAAATAAGTGATATCAGATCAAAGACAAAGATTACCACCAGCAGAGATATCTGGGAAGATTTTACAAATGATGAAATACTTGAAGGAAGGGAGGAAGGGAGGAAGGGAGGAAGGGTGGTTGGTGTCTGATTAGGTAGAGAAGAATAGAGAAAAATATTTCTCCTTGGCGGTGGGTCTGGAAGACATTTTTGGGTTTAGTCCCTTCGGTTCAAATCCACAGATTCCTCCTGGGTGCTATTTCTGCGAAAGGTTGAGTTTGAGAGAGGAGACAATGGTGAAATGGGAGCATTCACCTGTCACAGTAGCTGGGGAATTGTTCTGAGGAGGAGATGTGTATGCTTGGCTCCTCTGCTAGAACCAGCCCTCCATGAAGAAGCCCATAGCTATTTCTGCTCAGTGCTCCTAGCATCAGGCACAAACCAAGGGAGAGACTACAAACTCATTAGGGATGCACCTGAGAAGGTTTTATTTATTATTCTTTTCATTCAATAAATGAAAAATGCCTCTTACACAGAGAGGTCAGATACTGGTTGCGTTAGTTTGCTGTGGCTGTTGTACAAAGCATGCCAGACTGGGGCTCGGATGACAGACTCCCACCTTCAATTCCAGAGATAGGATGCCCAAGACCCAGGTGGTGGAGGGCCATGTCTTCTCTCTGTGACATGTCCATAGCTGTCTCTGTGTGTTCTCATAGTCTTTCAACTGTGTCTCTTCCTAATCCCTTCTTTTTGTAGGAATACCAGATGTAGTGGACTAAAAGCACCCTTGTGAGCTCATTTACTATTAATCACTGAAGACCATTTCTAAAAACATGGGGCTAGGACTTGGACATGTGAATGATGGAGAACACTATTTAGTAACAATCCTGGCATAAGTTGCTGCAGGGAAGAGAAGAGGGAAGGACAGATTCTGACTGGCCAGGGCAGGGGACTGTGTGTGAGGTACATCTGTGGAAGTCCTCAAGACTGTGAACTTGTCACATCCCCCCTGTGTTTCTCCAGTCTAAGTGGGTCTGGTTTGCAGTGACACTCATAGACAGCCTTGCACACACAAGTGACCAAGCCCATGCACGAAGAAGCACTTGGCCCA